ATAATTGGGATGGGAGTGTCAGAGACAGTGCGATTGGCACAGGACAGAGTGGAGTTTAGGGCTGTTGTACATAGGGTCGCTATGAGTCGCAGGAGACTTGACGGCACATAACAACAACAACATATGATTATGTGTGTGTGTGTGTGTGTATAATCTATATGATTGTATATGTATGTATGTATACACAGGAGAAGGATGGGCAATCTCCTTCCATATGATTAACTGCCTCTGAAAACCCACTATGGGTCAGCTATGGGTCGGTTCCGACTCTATGGTACACAACAGCAATAATGGTAACACTTTTGTTTACATTAGCAAGTCCTAAATAAAAAGAACTAGGTGGGGTTATGTTGTGGAAAGTGGTTGACTCAGATGGCTGAGCTCACATATATACGTTTGTGTCTCTCTTGCTCCTCAGAACAGAAATCCCAGGTAGGCAGCACATCCTGCATAATCAATAAAAAAGGACCCACTTTTGTTTGGGAGGGATGCATTTAACTCACAGAATGTTCCCTGTGGAAAAAAGAGGAAATTTAATTCAATGAAAGGATATGCAAGGAAATGTGGTGGTAGACCTTAGTGGAAAATAAAATGAAAAACACTTGATGCCCTATATAGGCCTGAAATGAAAAACAAACAAACAAACAAAAAAAAAACCCAAAACCCCAAAACCAACATTTCTTCATTCAGAAAATGTCTTTTCTATGAGAATGCATTTGACTTCAACATGAAAGAAATTATTCGGAAATAAGCAAAGAAGTTCATTGCCTTAAGAGTCAGATCTGACTCATGGTTGACCCTCCAGCGTTTTCAGAGGCAGGAAATTTCACACAAGGAGATTGCTCACCTTTCTCAGGTGGAGCTGCTGGTGAGTTTGAGGCCCCGGAGGGGTGCTGCCTTTGGGCTACAATGTCTATGGATTATGTCGCTATGGATTATGACTCAGGGACAATAACATCTGCTGGCTTATTTTGCTTTAAGTAATTAAATGTGATAACTTTATCAGAGGATTCTAGTTTAGTAGTTAGCATGGAAAGAACAATAGTTTTCATTGAGTTGATTCTGAACCTCATGCCTCAAAATGTATCAGAATAATATGGTTCTATAGAGTTTTCTATGGGTGATAATTTTTCTAGAGGTAGATCACAAGGTCCTTCTTCAGAGGCTCTTCTAAATGCAACCGCCAACCCTTAGGCAAGCAGCTGGCCCAGAATATTAACCATTTTCATATCCCAGTAACTCTGTTCAGTACATTTTCATTGCCATCAAGTGGATTGCCACTCTCACAACCGTCCCCCCTTTGGGTTTCTGAGGCTATATGGGAAGGGACTGTTCATCTTTCTTCTGCAGAGCAGCTGGGGGAATTCCAGGAGCCTATCTTTGGGTCAGCAACACAACGTGTAACACACTACACCATCAGGACTCCTTGCTTTAGTACATCTTGTTGTTGATAGATGTTTCAAGTCAACTGGGACTCATAGTAACCCTGTGAACAAAATATCGGAACTTTGCCCTCTTAGAACCTCTGTTAGCACATTGGTTACGTTTAGGTAGAGTGGATGACCACTCACATTGACCCTAAGAACATCAGATCTCAACCTAGCCCTACCCTGCCTCATCCCCATGATTTCTGACATGCTCGGGCCCTTTGCTACAGTCACCGTGTCAATCCCTTTTGTTGAACATCTTCCTCTCTCTCTCTGATCCTCTATGGTGTTTCCTAGCGTGATGTCTTTTTCAAAAGACTGGCCCCTCCAGGCAACATGTTCAAAGTATGTGACAGAATGTCACCATCCTTTCTAGCTCTTTTTTTTTAAAAAAAAATCTGTATTTATATTGCCTTATCTTTTGTTTTTCCTTATATTTTTTCATACAATTATCTTTTAACACTCCCTTATTTACAAAGTTCATATACATTGTTTTTCATCCTGGATCTTTACCGTTTCATCCAATTTTATAGTTGCTGTCCTGGTAGAGAAAAACTGTATATGGCTTGTAGCTTGGAGGCCTTTTGAAAAATAAACCTTCTCCCAAAGCTCTCACAACCAGAAAATAAAAAAAAAGGCCAATAATTTTCCACGTTTGAGAGTGAGAAAGTCATGCCAGTAAATTATTTGCCATTAATAAAAGGTTTATCAACCTATCTTTTTTCTTTTCCCTTTTCTGAGGACGTTCTTTTTTCTAACTCCCTCTCCCCTCAAAATGTTAAAACACTCATACACTGGAAATGTTTACATGTGCATGTGTACAAATAGTAAGGGTTGATTTTGAATGTGCTCCCTCCCCACAAACCATATTCCACACAGTTGGGGGCACCTGCGGAAAGAGCACAGTGCAAACCAGACTGAAGCGCCCAAATCGCTTACCTTGGCCATCATCATCTTAAAGGCAAACCACTTCTTTCCTTTTCCTTTCCCAAGAGCCCCTTCATTTTCACTTACAAATTTTTTTGCTTCCCTGAAAAAATACAACAAAACAAGGGGTGGATGGGTGTGGGTTAAGAATAATAAGATATTGAGGTAATAGATGTCTAATTGTATTACATCTACAGTCTAATTCAAGACCCCACGAGACCCTTAACAAGTGAACCTGAGATTCCTTTCATAGCTTAAGGGCTTGTAATGGACATTTAAGAGCCATCAAAAAGCAAAGAATTTATGCTAGGTGTAAAAATAGAAGAAAACTCACTTACTTCTTATTTCTACCACATATAAAATGGAATTTGAAGTGTACTTCACATCCTGGCAATCAGATGTCCCTTTCAAAATACTTTATTTTGCTTGATCTTTCTTACAGAGTGTTTTTTTTTTTTCATGGAGCAGAGATATTAGGACAAACTGAATTTTCTGGCTGGCCTATAATTTAATCCTTTAAAAAGAATTATCTTTTAAGCCATAGGAGGTGTAGCAAATAGGGTTGAGGGGAGAAGGAAGATGGAAAAGAATACTTCTGATGTCATACTCAGAAAATACTTCTAATTTAAGCTTTGCAGTGATCCTGAAAAGGGAGCTCTGGTGGCATCTTGATGTGTACTGTCGAGTTGGAACTGACT